ATCATCTCGAATGAGTCGTATAGGGTAAAAAATCTCCCTACCAAAAATTATTAATATCCGCCTTATATATTCCTATATATCTTTCGATTTGCACGAAATTTAGCACAGCGTAATGAATAAGGTCTAGAATTAGTCAGTTTCGTGAAAATGTTATCCCATATATATTTTCTCAAAGTCTCCATATATATATATATATTTCGATTTGCACGAAATTTTAGGTATAGAATGATGTGTTAAATATATATTTTTTTTTTTGTAGGAATTGATTTTCCTTTTTTCCGGCGTAATAGCGAAAATTAAATTACATTTTTTTTGAATGATTGTCTCGGTTGTAATCATTTCACCTGCAGAGGATAGCGAGATAAAAAATTAGAACGTATAATGAACTATAGCCGCATTTAAACCTATTTGGTCCAAAGAAACCAATATTTCGATGAGGCACATTTTCACCGTGTTAAAGTGTATACACCCTCATTCGCCACAAGGCTGAGGGTATAATTATCCATTAAAAATTTCTGAAATGTGTATTATGATTTACATTATGGATTACATAGTCTTGTTTTCATTTAAATTGAAGCCATAAAAAACATTGACAGTTGATTCGAATTTCTGAAACGTAGTTACCGCAATATTTTTCAGGTTTTATGTCATTCGATGACTTTTTAGACCCTATATTACTCTGTAGTATGTCATAAGTTCTGTTGTCCGTTCCCAAAGAAATAATTTTCAATAGCATATATAATGATCGATCGAATAAAATGTTCTTAAATTTGAAAATATATTCTCTTAAGCATATTTCCAATTTAATATCATTAATGGAAATGAAACTGGAATTTATTCCAAATGAATTGAAATATTCATAATATCAATCATCATCATCTCATCTAACATGGAATTGTACAGGTAGCAAAAAAACAAATTCCATTTTCAATTATACTTAACAATCATTGAACAATAACAAATCGAACAATTACTTTTACATAATAGAACCTTTCAATTTGTTTTACTTTTTTTCTTTAAAGAAAAGAAGGGAAAAAAACTGAACTGAAAAATATGAACAATAAACACATATTACAATAATAGCAGCAAATAGCGTTGCCATGTGTAAACAAATATTCTTGAATACTTTCCCCACTTTTACAATTAATTTTATATTAAAACAGCTGGCAAAAGAATGTTCGTATGAGTATGTTGGAGAATATGAGATATACTTACATAGAAGGCTGGTAACAGAACGGTTGTTCCATAAGCCTAGCTTAAAAATATTTCCAAGCGCGTCGGTCTTGTGCGCATCTCGTCCAATTCGAAAGACCCTGTTCCGAGATGTTGTTTTCTACTTGATCTTTCCCTCTAATTTGTGGCCTTCACCTTCTGCGTGAGCCATCAGCATTTTGAGTTGACACATTTTCATCCATTCTCACAACCTGACCTAGCCAACGTAGTCGCTGCAGCTCGATACGTCTAACAATGCCGATGTCCGAGAATAGCTGGTACAAATGATGGTTCATCTACTTGCATAAGTACCCATGCTTCAAATCCATATAACAGCACGAGTAGTATCAGCGTCTTCTAGAGTGTGAGTTTGGTCTGGCGGGAGGTGGCCTTGTTTCTAAACTGCTTACATAGACCATAGTAGCATCTGTTGATCAACACTATCTTTCTCCGAATTTAAAAACAGCTTTCTTTATTTTTATGGCGGTACAGAGGTATATAAAATCATTCACTACCTCGAAGCTGTAGTTTTCAAGTTCCACAGTTGGTCCGAGTCTACTGGACGTCTTGCGCGTTGATACCTTGGTTTTCTCGCCATTTACTGCCAGACCCACTTTGGCAGACTCCTTCTCAATTTGTTCAAAGGCGGCTGTTACCGCTCACAATGGTCGACCCGTTATATCGATGTCATCGGCGTAGGCGAGTAATATGAATTGTTTGGCGTACAGAGTGTCATTTCTGTCCACATTTGCGTCTGTCCACCTTTGCGTTTGACCTTTGCCAGCAGGATGTTAAAAAGAGAGAGGTCCTTTCCGACTTTGACAGCTGACCTTGTGTCAGTTAAAGTTATCCTGCATAGCCGTATTAATTTTGTAGAAATGCCGAAGGCAGACATAGCTTTAAACACCTCTGAACGCATAAGGCTTTCGACGAATATCATTGACCATTGGCTTCAGTCTTTCACACAGCACGCTTTATAACACCAAATTTTACTAATCAGTTGGTGCAAGCTCTTGATCAGCGTCTGACCACCGGTCTTGAATAGTTCGGCTGGTAACCCATCGGCACCTGCTGCTTTATTATTCTTCAGCCGATTGATTGCTACTCTGACTTCATATTGGTTAGGTGGTATACACTCTTTACCGTCATCTCTTATTGGTTTTGGGATATCTTCTTCACCGTCACGACTTGATACTAGAAGCTTTTCAAAATCATCCTTCCAGATCCTCAGCACGCTATCCGTATCTGTCATCCTTCTTCATCTCTACACGATATGCCTGCGCCAAAGCCTTCGGTTTGGTGTTTTACTCGTTGCTAAAAATTCCGAACTTAATTCTGACTCCTGTACATCTCGATTTGCTCCCGTTCACGTTTTTCTTGTTCTGAAAATACGTTTCTCCTCTCTCCTTTTCTCCCGATTATTTCCTCTAGCATTACGTGTTGCAACTGTCTGCAGGATTGCCCTATACGCTGCGTTTTTCATATCAGTAGCAATACGACACTCCTGGTCGTACCGCTGGTTTCCTGATGGTGGTCTTGGCACCCAAGCGTTGCATCTGCTGCAGTTTGTAGGAAGTGAACAATTATTTACATTGTGCTTCTATATTCATATCGGAACAAGAAGTGCTTTCGTCAAGCAGGTGAGTAAGTTGAACGGAGAAGGAATCTGCTACCTGTTGTTTTGGAAACTTTTCAACGTCGAGTTTCCGTGTTGTGTTAGATCGCACCTTTGCTGCTACATTAAGATGGGTGCGTACATTGGCTGCCACAAGGTAATGGTCCGAATTCCTCGGATCTATCGAACGTCTAAAACACTAGATGAATGCCTTCCGTCTATCACAACATGATCAATTTGATTTCTCGTTGCTTGATCAGGAGAAATCCAGGTGGCCTTGTGTATATCGAAATGCTTGAATCTGGTGCTTCTAACTACCATGTTTTTTGCTGCCGCGGAATCAATCAACATCATGCCGTTGTCGGATGTATCTTCATGAAGGCTGAATTTTCCGACGGTGGCCAAAAATATTATATCTGTGGGGTATCCGATGAATATTTCGAGGTGATGTAAACGGAAAGACAAATTTAATATACAGTCCACGTTATGGTGGAGGGTATAACAAGTAAAAAATGTATTTGTCGGTGTTGCCGACAGATATACGCCCTCAGTCTAGGGTTTGTAGAGGTTATGAGGTAAATGTTTATGGTTATGACGAAATGTTTTATCCTCTTTCTAGAGTGGGCTGACGGATCTCACTTCGGGCTTGATCTGAGCTTGGTAAAGATAATGGGTTCTGAAGAGTTTGGTTCAAATCGGACATTCCTTTTGCCTAATATTGAAAAGTTTGACCATTTTTGGGGGAGGTGTGAACCAATGGATCCCAATTTCGGACTTGATCTAGGATTGATAAAGCTAATACGTTGTACAAAGTTTAAGTCAATTCTGTCATTTCATTTACCTAATAATAGATTTGTGAAGATTGAACATTTTGAATATTTTGTGGGGGGTGTACCAGAAGAAGTGGACCCATATTCCTCAACTTCGAACTTGTACTAAGTGTGGACGAAATATTACGATGTGCAAAGTTTAGGTGAAATCGATTACTGCCTTCGGGAGTTATCGTCTGCAACAGCCTGTCAGATAGACAGAGGGACAGACATGCGAAAATTGGCTCCAAACCATCTGAAATTAATTTGGTCCAAAGAAACATGAGTTCTAAAACCAATATTTTGATGAAGCACATTTTCAAAGTCATAAGTCTGAGAATATATAAATCCACGCCCTTATATGGGCTTCAACAATCCAGGTCTTAATAAGAGCCCGAAAAATATTCTTTAAAAAATCTTGTGGACTAATGTTAAAAAATTCAGGACTTAAAAAGGTCTTAGACGACTTAAAAGTTTGAACTAAATTGGAACAAATTCATTTTTGATTTTAATCTAAATTTGGTAAATTCGTTAAACATTTGTGGAAAATATATAGATTTGGTCCATAGGTAAATATTTGATCCTATTCTATTAGAATTATATCTATATATTATATTATTAATTACATTATGTCCTACTTGATATCTCAAATTTAGGTGGCAACGCTGTGAATACTAAAAAACGTCAAATCCATCAGTAATAATTTGTCACAATTTTATACACATACATATATAAAATGGTGACACATACAAATCAATGCAAATGAATAAATAGCACAGATGAAAATGAAAAATAAAAAAAAAACAGAAAGACAACAAATAAAATAAAACAAATGAACAAAAAATTTGTTGTTTTTTTTTTTCTTCTAGTAGACGAACAATTAGCCAATGATTTGACTATAACAATCATTATAATGAAAAATGCTTAAAAGTAAATGGGCCATTAAAAAAACGTTCGTCGCTACCGATGACAATTATTGATGACTGCAAAATTGTAGCAATTCGACAATGACAAATTCTAATAGCAATAGCAACAACGACAACAAAACAAATAAAAAAATTACTATAATCATCATTAGTATGCAGTAAAGATAATCACATAGTTTTGTCACTTGCACTCACTTGTCGCACAAGGGGGTGGGGGGGTTTATTGGTGATGGCTGATGGCTGATGGGGAATGTGATTGACTGCAGATTGTAAATTTCCTAGATATTTGAGTGGATGAACAGTGGCAACATCATTGTATTTGACATGACACATTCATCATTGTGACTTTTTGTAATTAATGGCAATTTTCCCAGCTCTCTCTTTCTCTCTCTACCCCTCCCTCACTCATACGACTTTTTCCATTTGCTCTCATTACAGACAATCATACGCGAAATGAATCGTTTGGGCATGATGGTCGATTTGTCACACGTCTCAACGGGCACAATGCGAGATGCTTTGGAAGTCAGCGAAGCACCTGTGATATTCTCCCACTCGTCCGCCTATGAACTGTGTAATTCGAGTCGTAACGTTCAGGATGATATGCTGCAATCGATGGCCAAGAACGGTGGCATAATTATGGTCAACTTTTATTCGCGTTTTCTATCGTGCAGTGAAAATGCCACCGTACACGATGCTGTGGGTAAGTACTGGCGGGTGTTAAAATGAACATCCATTGAAGTCAATTGTTAATGGCTAATGAAAAATGAAAATTGGTTTTGAGATTTAATTTCGTTTGTGTTTTTTATATTCTATATTATATTCCATTTGTAGCACCTTGAAATAATTGTCGGGATCCCATGAAATATATATATTAAATAATTAGAAACCCGTCTTTCTGTCTATTGAAACCCCGATAAAGATCGCAGTATTTAAGATAGAGCTTTGTATTTTTGAATAGACATTGCATTCCTTGGATGTTTAATATTACAAAATTGATTTTTTCACATCGTGTGATATCCAAAGAAGGCTCCCGCTCCATTTTGGCATTCTGTGTTATTGGATGATAGAAAAAACATATTTTCAGAACCATATCGACAACTTCGGTTTGGAGTAGCCACTACAAGAAGTTCCCATTTTCTTTTTTTAAGGTCTTCACCGCAATTTCACACCGAAATGCTTAAAATCTGACAATCAGGGATCATAAAGGGCTTGGAGGGTTCTTGCAAAAATGTCAATATAGGTCCAAGTTTTGCATTAATTTTAAGTTTTTCAGAGCATTTCCCATGGAACTTGATTTCCATTTTACTCAAATTATTCAGGTTTTTTAATAGATCCAATACAAAGCACTCGCTCATTTTTCCACCACTGGTTTATAGGCTTCTAAACTATTCTTACAAATTCCACGAATTTATAGGCATCCTAAAAATGTTTTTAAATACACGATTTATTCCGCAAGAATATTCTTAAAAATAAATGCATTAAAAGGCTTCCAAAAGTATTCTTTTAATATAAATTTGAAGAATATATGTTTTCGAAATCCAATCTTTAAAAGAAACTCTCAGAAAACTATTCTTCAAAAATCCACGTCCTAATAAAGACTCCCAAGAAATATTTTTCAAAAATTTACGTGTTAATAGCGACTTCCAAAAAATATTCTTCAAAAATCGACGACTTAATAAAAACTTCCAAAAAATATTCTTTAACAATCCACGCCTTAGTAAAGTCTAGAAATTGTTATACCCTCAGACTTTTTTTCAAAATTCCACGCTATAATAAGGCCTAGAAATTTGTATACCCTCAGTCTTTTTTCAAAAATCCACGCCTAAGGGCTGGAAAAAAATTATTCTTCAAAAAAACCCACGCCTTAATAAGAACTTCCAAAAAAATCTTCAAAAAGCCACGCCTTAATAGGGGCTAGAGAATATTATTCTTCAAAACTGTACGCCTTAAAAAGCACAAAAAAAAATAGAAAAAATTATTCTTCAAACAGCCAATATCCGCTTAAATAAGGGCTACAAAAAATATTCTTTAAAAATACAAGCCTTAATAATGTAGAAAAAATTCTTTAAAAATCCACGCCTTAATAGGGACTTTGGACAAATATTCTTCAAATATCACAGCCTTAATATGAACTTCAAAAAATAATCCACATAAATTCACTCCTTATTAAGGTCTAGAAAAAAATCTTTAAAAATCCACGCCTTAATAGGGACTTTGGACAAATATTCTTCAAATATCACAGCCTTAATATGAACTTCAAAAAATAATCCACATAAATTCACTCCTTATTAAGGTCTAGAAAAAAATCTTTAAAAATCCACGCCTTTTAAAAAATATTCTTTAAAATCACCTCCTAAATATGAACTCCCAAAAAATCCACGTAAATAATCCTTAATAAGAACTTTCAAAAATATTCTTTAAATATCCACGCCTTAATAGGGACTTCCAAAAATATTCTTCGAAAATCCAATATATTCATTAAAAATCCTTATAGGCTTCCGAAAGAATATTCCTAAAAATGTACCTACAAATATATTATTAAAAAAATCCACTCACCCTTAAACCCTTAAAAATATCTCCCAAAAAGTCTATGTCTAAATTTGCCGAGCCTAGTTTTCGTCTATAATTTTGAAAATAACAATTACATAGTACCCACACAAAGGTCACGATTGATTTAAGGGATTTTAAATGCACACCACATGTTGGAGGGTGTAAAAAGTTCGGCGCAGCCAAACTTAAACACATTTTACTATATTTTTTTATTTTTTTTTTTGATATTTTATCTTTTTTCCTTCAGAAAGTAATTTTTAGACATAACTTCAAGATTTATTTATCCCTCTTAGTATAATTTGGTTCCCCATTAAGATTTGATTAGCTTCTTTGTAATAAAAAAATAACTACATAAATCTAATTTATTTGTCTTCTTTTCTTTTTCTAATATTTTTCGTCTCCGTCTCTCTATCTCTCAATGATTATGGCAACTTGGATTCATTGGTCGTCACATTCATACTTCATCAATTGGATTTGCTGGAAATCAATTTTATGGTGACTTGGTCTATTTTTGTGTGATTGGTGCATTGAACTTTGATTATACGTTTGTTAATTTTACCAATTTTTATTTTTTGTGTCACTACAACAACAACTGAACGTATAACCATTACCTTCTGAAATACAACAACAACGTCGAATATGCTTATATCACAACGACAACAACAACAAATTCAATTGCATTATGCAAATCGTCTTTTGCTGATTTATCCCCACGCACTCCAATCAATTTTCTTTTCATTCCCCCATTTCGTCTGGGATGACGATGACAACTGTCATGACTTCGACGACGACGATGATGATTCTGCTTCTGCTGCTCCTGCTGATGACTGTCAATTCGATGGCCTTACACATTGCTGGAATGTTGCCTATATTAATCTATGCTACTCCGTGTCTATCTTCATCTTGACGCTGTCATATCTCATGCCCTTACAAATGATCCCTGATGATGATGGTGGTGGTGGTGTTGGTGTGTTGGTTGGCTGTTTGGTTGGTGTTGGTGTATTGCCGTTTGTACAGCTCATATAAATCACATTAAGCGCGTTGCTGGCATTGATCATGTGGGCCTTGGTGCCGGATACGATGGAATCAATTTGTAAGTAAATGAAATTTATTTTTGTATTATCGCATTACATGTACATATATACACGCACGCTCGAATATATATAATGCATCGTGAAAACCTGGCCATAACAAACGAAGTGGCACAGTGGTTTCAATGGATTAAAATAAATATAATTTTATTCTTAAAAAACACAAAATAATAAATAGCTCTTTAAAATATTTTTAAAAAAATAGGTACCCTTTAAAAACCCAAGCAATCATCAGTGCTTGAAAAATATTCTTTAAAAATCCACGCTTTAAAAAGGGATAGAAAAAATGTTCTTTAAAAATAAACGCCTTATTAATGGTTTGATAAAAAAAAAATTCTAATAAGGGCTTGAAAAAAATTATTCTTTAAAAATCCACGCCTTAATAAGGGCTTAAAAATATATTCATTAAAAATTCCAGGCCTTAAAGAGAAGTTGAAAAAATATTCTTTAAAAAGCCACCCCTTAATAAGGGCTTGAAAAAAGTTGTTTAGAAATCTACGTCTTAAAAAGGGCTTGCGAAAAAACGTTCTTTAAAAATCCACGCCTTAGGTTAGGTCAAGTTTGGGGATGTGCAGTCACATGTGTGACTACAACACTCTGAGACCGGTTTGGTCCGTTGTGATCATCCACAAGAAAAGATACAGCGAAGAGAAGAAACCAACGACAGATCTGTAGGGGAGAGAAGATTACTAAATTAAAGGAGTGAAAAATGAATGAAGGTCGATGGTCCTATGAGTGAGACAGAAAAAGCGTTACGTGCCAAGGTTCTATGCTCCTAACCACTTTATGTTTCTAATTATGCTGTAGATTAGAGCAGGTTCGGTTCAACGACCTCAGCATCCAGATTTTTTATCAATTCCACTGCCTTCCAGATCGCGAAGATTTCAGCTTGGAAAACACTACAGTTACTATCCAGCTTGTAGGTTAACTCAAGGCCTAACCTTTAACAGTAGACGCCTGCCCCAGTACCTTCTTCCATTTTGGATCCGTCTGTATAGAGAGCCAGACCGTCCAGAGGAGGGTTACTTCGTTTCCAGTCGTCTCTACTAGGAATAACGACATCTAAGGATTGGTGATATATAGTCGCTTAGTTTAGCACGTTGGTGCAATGCTATACCTGGTTCATTAAGAACACTACTATGCCCAAAGGTACAGTACAGCTACGCGCAGCCTGACACTTAATGCTGAGGCCCAAAGGCTAGAAGTACAGCATTGCGTTCAGAGCTGCTTGTGGCGTACTCCTTCCTGCTCCTGTAAGTAAAATCGCGGAGGCTCTTTGTACCTTGTCTAATTTACTAGATGTCGACTTGAGGCTCAAGCAGTTCCACCAAACAAGAGAGCCATAGGACAAAATGGGCTTCACCACAGTGTTATACAACCAGTGTATAGTCGATGGTTTTAGCCCCCAGCTTTTCCCAAGGGAGTTCTTGCATGAATAGAGTGCAATCATTCCTCTCTTCGCTCGCTCCTCAACGTTCCTTTTCTATCGTAGTTAACAGTCCAGGATTGTGCCGAGGTACTTTGCTTCCGGAGATAGGTGAAGTTGCACTCCATCCAATGTTGGTGGAACAAAGACACCGAGCTTACGCTTCCTAGTAAACATTACCAGTTCCGTCTTCGTTAGATTTACACCAAGACCATTTGCCCTGGTCCAGCGTGACATCGTCAGTAAGGCTCTTTGCATAAGCTCAGAGATTGTAGACGGAAATTTTCCGGAGATCAATATCACCACGTCGTCCGCGTCAGCTACAACTTTGATACCTTTCCCGTCCAATTCCCTCAATATGATATTAAATACCAGTAGCCATAGTAACGGCGAAAGCACCCCTCCTTGAGGTGTGCCTCTAGTTACCGTTTTCCTGATTTTTGCATCCCCCACACTTGAATTTATAATCCTGCTGTTAAGCATTTTATCTATCCAATATGTCAGGGTATCAGGAATGCCAACTTCCCTAAGTGAGTGGTTTATGGATTTAAGTTTAACGTTGTTAAAGGCTCCCTCTATATCTAAGAAGGCGGCCAGCGTAAAATTTGAAATTTCCATGTTCCTCTTAATATAGCCTACCACTTCGTGCAGTGCAGATTCCACGCCTTAAAAAGAGCTTGAAAAAATGTTCTTTAAAAATGCAATACTTAAAAGAGGCTATGAAAATTCAAAAGGCCAAGTAAAAAAATTTCTACATTTTTTTCCACGTTTTAATATGTCTCTAAACAATAAACAAATCACTGAAAAATGTACGCCTAAATAAGGGCCTATTTAGGCTTTGAAAATCAGTTTTTCAAAAAATCCGATCATTTTGATCACTGTATCTTTCGGCCATTGATGTCCTGCTAACGAAGTCCATCCATGTACATATTTCCCAACGGTAAAGAGTAAGAGCAAGTGAATCTGATTCTGAATCCAGAATGGCTAGATTCGATTGTTAAAAATCGATTTTTGTGTTTTTATGGTTTTTATGTATTTTTTCAATCTCTTTTTTTACACAGTTTCACCATTCACTTTTAATCGTTCAAAACGAACGTTGATCCAGACAACGACAGCGGCAGTGGCAGCAATAAAAACCAAAATCAAATGAATTCCCCAGATCCTTTCGCCCAGTTTATTGTTGTAGACGATGATTGTTTGTCTGTCTGCTTGTCGTCGTCATCATCGATGTCTGGCATATCGACGATATTTCAGCCATTTAATGGTTGGTTATATTTTTAAATTAAATCCTAGCTACCGACAACGATGACGTTCTTCATGTTTCATTCATTTCATAATCTGAAGGGAATATTTGATTAATTTATGACGAAAATAAACGAAACGAAACACAACAGAACCGAAACCAAACCAATTTTTAATTGGCCAAAGGGAAAGTAAACGCAAATTGAATTTTGCGGGGCGGGAAAAGTTATTATTGTTCTCGTACTCATATTGCAAAAATAAAAATAAAGTTTCATTTATGTAATGGACGCGCGTTTTTTTTCTGGACCTCTGGGTTAATGGTTTATTTTCGTTGTATAACAATTAATTATAATTCTTTTGTAATTTAAATAGCCTTATGCTGATCGGCCACATGAACGAACGACCGAGCGACCCAGCAATCGGCTTATGATTGATGTTCAGCTTCAGGTCCATTGTATTAATATTAATCATAAACAAAGTCATTGCAAAGCAAAAAAAAAAATGAAAAGAAGAGGATGACAGAGGACAATTAATCGATTGTCACAGGCCAAATGTTTACACGGAGGGTTAGGGCTATTAATCGATGTCATTACCATTTATTATTTATGTCACTAAGAAGAAGAAATGGGGGCAAAGACGCTTTTAGTCAATATTTTAAGAAATTGACAAAAAAATGTCCTAAACGTTTGGGAAATTTGTTAAACGATTAATTAAAATGTATTTAAGTATTGTTCCTTTATTTCACAAATTTTGCAGTGATTATTGTTTAGTCCTGCCCACCTGACAGGCTAGTATTTCCTTGCCAATATACAAATAGAAAATTGTAAACATATTTAAACATCATTTTATGTATTTTAATCCACGCCTAGGTAGGCCTCTAATTATTATAAGTTGTAAAAATCCACATAAAAATAAGGGCATACATTTTTTTAAGTTTTTTAATTATGCACATTATTGAGAAAATCCACGCCTATATGTGCCCATTATTTTGAAAGTGGTATAAGTCAAAAATCTACTTTATCAGCTTTTACTTATCAAATCCTTATAAAATAATATAATCTGAAGAAAGTAGCAGCATGCCATGGAAATTAAGTCATTAAAATGCGTTTATTTTTTAGTTGTTAACTGAAATACAGATATTGTTGGTTTTGATAGTGGTATAAGTCAGTGTGTTCACAAAGTAATTTTGTCATGTCTTCAGATAGTGGTTCAGGTAGGTAAAAACCTACTATTTAAAGTTAATAGTAGACATTTTACGGCGAATAAATGAAAATAATGCTCCCAAGAAATGCAAACGAATAAGAATGATATCGTCTTCTGATGAATCAGGTGCATAACCCATACAAATGGAAAAATATAAGAAAAATGAAGAGAAATAGTAGAGAGGAATATGAAACAAAAAACTCTAAATACTTAAAGTAGTACGAGATCATATTCATTACACGAGATTACGTGACACTTCAGGTCGAAAGTATCTAAGTGATGACTTAGATATTCGAAAAATTTATGGGATATATGTGGAAAAATGTGATGAAAATACATCATATGTAAAGGAGTGAACTTTAAATATAAATATTTAATACTGAGTTCAACCTAAATTTTCATACTCCTCGTAATGACACGTGGCCAAAGTATGATTCGATAAAACTAAAAATTGAATCATCTAGTAATGAGGACGAAAATTTGCATCTTAAAAGTGCCTGTTCGGCACATCTTCAAAGTGTCGAACAGGCTAGAAAAAGTTTAAAAGATGACATACAAAAAACAGAAGATAACCCGAAAGAAATTTGCGGATTTACATTGACCTACAAAAAGGAAGCGCTTTTTGTAGGTCAATCCAAAAATTTCTGTTTCCGTAGCTTACTATAAGCGCAACATGTATGTATACAATTTAGGTTTCCACAATGGAAATGCTAAAATGTATGTATGGGATGAAACAATCGCTTCAAGAGGATCGCAGGAAGTTGCGTCCTGCATCTTAAAGCATATTCGGGACATTACCACTCAAAAGCATATAATAGCTTACAGTGATGGATCAAAAAGATTTTTTTCTACAAAACAACTAAAAGAATCAACGAATAATAGAAAGAAAAACATCAATGGAGAAGCTGTGCCTTGGTTAAAAATACAATGAATCAGATTTCTAAAAAAATGCCCCATATAAGATGTTTTATAAAACTTCCTTGGATGACAACTCCGAATTCTAAGTATTAGACCTCTCACATAAAAAAGGAAGACATAGAATATACGGAAATATTGATTTACTTCCATTATACACAACCATTAGACAGATAACAAAAGAAAAACGTAAAGATATGATGGATCTACTACCCT